TCACGGTTTCGGATCGACGCATGTGCGTCAGCCGCCCATCGACTGATGAGAGCCTTGCTACTGTAGCAAGGCTATCTTCTGTCGTTCGACGGCAAAGTTCCCCTTGTAGGAACTTGTTGATAGCAGGATGTTACTGGTCTCTGCTTAGAGACTCCAACATACCACTGATGGCGGGTTCGCCCATGAGCACACTCATGCGGCCGACAGCCTCCCATTCTGAGTCAATCAGATCGGAGTAGCCTTCACGTGTGGCGTGAAAGCTCTCGTCGTCTACGTCCAACATGTTCATGTTGGACGGACACTAAGAAGTCGTTGGACGGACTACAAAGTGCTACCAGGTGTAACGGGGCACCCGTTGCCTGGGTGCCACGAAACTTCACGTACACTAGTACGTGCAGAGATATCAAATCTACTTGAACGACTCGGTCAGGTAAAGGTAAAAGAGAACTGTATTTAATATAGGTAAACTATCAATGTAACTTCAGTCTTTATCTAACTATATTAAACTACGCCGTCGTATGACGACAACCTGCTCACCACTCACTGCGCGCGTCTAGCAGCGATTGATGGCAATTTATGGTTACTATGTCTTATATCAACCAATCTTGGAGCAGCGCATGAGTATTATCTAAAAGGGATAATATTCCTTCAATATCATCCATCTGGGATACTATTGATAGAATATTGTCATGCTAGACAATATTCCTTTCGACACCATTTGGTGTCAATTTCATGTAACGGACTGCCCCGTTACATTAGGACCCCAAGTAATACCGAATGGGTACGTTCCTCTCGTGGTAGCCCATCCACTAATTTCACCCGTTCTTCCTTATACTTGGATGCGATCACAACACCTGTAGACCGAATTTTCATCGTCATTTTGAATATTCAAGCGCCCCGAATTCATTTCGAACGCTCCTTATGTCAGAAGCACCTAATAACCTGAAGTGCGCGTGACGTCCGTTTATATTATCTCAAGGTAAAATGCGTTTTGAGTGAGACTGAAGAGGTTGCCATCACCCAGTAGAAAGAAAATGCGTGGTATTTCTCAGCGACAAGTTACGTTTCCATGATTTTCGACTGCTTGTGCAGCAATGATGGCCTCACATAACCGAGATCAACTTAATGTTCAACTATGTACTTAGCCCCGTTTCATACCCGCATCAGTCTACGATTACCTGCTTCGCACGTAATCTATGCTGTCGAAGAGAAAAAGATCTGAGCGAATGGATCGCTCACATTTAAAAACTCAAGGAACAAGGCTTTTCGTAAAAAAGTATCATTCGAGTGGATACTGTATCGTTTGAGTAGAGGACTAGCAACGGTCCTCTCTGTACGACTTGTACCGCATATTCGGGTGATACCAGTCTCTCGCGTTTGCGTAGTGGTATTGATGTTGCGCTCAAAAACTACCTCGCGCAACGCGATAGAGATCTGTGTAGGTGCCAGCTAATGAGACACATATGGGGATTTAATTTGCTTTGTGTATCAGGGGTACGTATAAATCTACTTAAAACGTGACGATAAGGGACCATGAGCTGATGCAACGTGTTTCTTCACATTAGTATATATTCTGGAGAACAATACACCGGACAGGCATCGATTCACCCTCATATTTCTGTGAGCATGCAAGTAATGGCTCACATGAGTCCGATGATGCTGATCGTATTGATCCCGCTGATTCTCTCAAACTTTTTGCAACCCCATAAGTACCACTATAACATGATGACCCCATGTCAAATGGCATATGTATTGCAATGCTCGAAGATTTCTTACACCCCCTTGGCATCTGTTAAACAAGGTAACAATTTCTCGACCACCAGCCATTAGTACGCACGCAGGTCCGTACGACACAGTAGAAATGTAGTCCAGGTGCTAAATCATTTCGACGGTACAGCACATTTCAAGCTAGCCCAATATTACTGTCCGCCTTTTGGGCTACCTTTCATCGAAGATCCAGACGTTTCGCGGTATTTCAGTTAAAAGGAGAGATGCGTACAAAAAGAGAAAATGTTTTGTGCCGTTGTGATTACTACCTCGCGGAAACATCAGCGGCTCATTCTTCGCATTGACGCAAACACGAACTCAACAACTCCTACATCTGGTGCAAACTGTTGGAGGTGCAAGATGCACTGGATTCGACTCCAGAGATTCGACCCATGATAGGGTATGTAAAGAATGTTCTTTAGGCTTTGATGCATTATATTAGGTCGTTCAGCAGCTAGATGTATGGATTATTCTCACTTGTAGAATGAAAAACCACTGATGAGGCCCCCGGCGGGGCCGAAACGCGTCTGGTGCGCGGTAATGTACAAGTCGTTTACTTTACTTGTCTCATACTTATTACACAAACAACATCAACTAATTGGCCACGGCAGCATGACTTCTCACCATTTGTCTTGAGCTTTGTGCTCTGATCGCGCAGGCCGACAAAATCTGCCTGGTCTGCCTCTCGTGATTGTCGGCCGCCCTCTTTCGATAAAAGGGCATCAACCGCTAATTATGGAGACGAAGATCTGCAACAGCTCTCTTTACAAGTAAATCTTACGGTATCTGCTCTCGCCTGATCGATATCTTCAGACTGGCAACTCCGGCTCCTATTCAGGTCATTCACGTTCTGAAACCGTGCCGCTACGAAGTTTATGTTCTGTCTGAACACCCAGCTTTGCTTTCCGCATAGACTTCACTTTTCATGACTGTGAGTTTGTTTATGTTTCGATGGTCTTTCGAACGAGGGTTTTGGCAGTAGTGATCGTCCAATCTCTCCGTTGTGTTGTGCTGACATAGATACGTTTTGACACAAGATGAATGAACAAGTGCCAATCTGCATTGCACTTTCCAGTGGATTATCGCCCTAGTGACTCACTTTCCCAGTGAGTTATCACCCTAGTGACTCATTCGATTCGCGTGAAGTGTCTTGCGTTCGATATCGCGTACACGTTGAGGTTACTGTTGGAAATCAAAGAGATGTAATGAAAGGCTTCTGTATTAAAACGCCAGACACGTTTCAGCTCCCCGCCGGGGGCCGCGTCAGTAGCTTATCCAATCTAGAAGTGAGATCTTTCTGTATCGTGCACTACCAAACCAAAAATCTTCTAGAACTTAGTGTAAACACACAAATCACCCACTGTAACTACTAAACCTGGCAAGTGGGGCGTCGACCCGGAAGGGAGTGTCCGCTATGACAACTCCACTTCCAACAGTTACTAGGGAGAGCATCCTGTGTCGGAAGCAAGCGCACGCATATTGCCATGATGAAAAATTTCTTTCGATAAAGTGGAGCTTGTGAAGTGGGGTGGGAAGCAGTCACTCAGTACTGTTAGCGAGTGATGATGCGGCGACTTGTGCAGGGTGTATATTGCATATTTGCATTAGTTGTATTGTTCTTTGGCAGGTTTATATTGTGGGATGTTAGCGAAACGACAAGTCATCGGATTGGCTCAGTCGTTTGGGAAGGGGGATTCCACGCGGGTGAGTGCGGGTTCGATCCCCGCCGTGTACAAGTTAATTGTGACTGACACTCACGACCTGGTGTTTGGGGTTCACCAGAACTGTGACCCGCCCGCAGTTACGTCCCCCACCCACGCAATCGTTTTCATTCAGCATATGACACAGCAGAGTTTTTACGAAAGGTATTTACGAGACGTAATTACCCAGTGATAGGTAAAACAGAAAGCGGTGGAGACAGGGCACGAAATAGGTGGCTGAGAGTCACCGGCTACTACTAGCCATTCGTTTTCGAAGCTAGGAACAATTTGAATACAACTCACTTTTCGGTTTTCATCCCCGGCCGTAAGCCATCTTCTTCTTCTCATCAGCTCCGCAACCTAGTTAATTCTAACAGGTTATGAGCCCAAGTAACGACTCCGGTTTCAAGGTCGAGCCTTTCGACGGCTCGAACTATGGGTTGTGGAGTTACAAGATGAAGATGTACCTGATGTCGAAGGGGCTGTGGGGCGCGATCGCGGGCGATGAGACAACAAGTGAGGCCAAGGAACAGCAAGCCCACGCCGCGATCGTGCTGAATCTGAGCGATTCACAGTTGATGCATGTCATCGACTCGGCCACCGCAAGAGAAGCGTGGGGACGTCTGGCGCGATTTCATCACAGTCATGACATGGCGAATCGACTTTGGCTGAAGGAAAAGTTCGCGTCGTTCAAGTATGCAGCATCAAGCATGAGCGGTCATGTGATGGAGCTGGAGGACCTCGTGATGAAGATGAAGCGCGCGAACTGCGGTCCAAGTGAAGAGGACGTGTGCGCAGTACTGTTGCGGAGTCTACCTTCAAGCTTCGAGAGCTTGGTACAGGCATTCCGCATGTCCGTCGCAAGCTTCAGTTTCAGTGACCTCGTGAGCAAGTTGATCGCCGAAGAAGTGCGCCAGAATGAGGGAGCACGAGTAGAAGATGCAACGGCGCTCTACGCAGGCAAGAGGAAGGGTAAGCAGTACCAGAAGAAGCAACAAGGACGGCGCGCGAAGGGACCATCAGGGACCTGCTACAACTGTGGCAAGGTCGGACACTACGCCAGAGATTGTCGCTCCGGTCGAGGGCCAAGGGAGCAACAGCATGACCAGTCGAATGTCGCGTTTCATGCCAGCGAAGGTTTCGCGAGCAACAGCTGGGTCATGGACAGTGGCGCGTCAGCACACGTGTGCAAGGATCGAGATGCGTTCGAAGAGTACGAAGAAGTGCATCATGCGCGAAGCATTTCAAGCGCAAAGAGCGACGTGAAGCTGAATGTCATTGGACATGGGACAGTGAAGCTGCGCGTCTGGACAGGACATGCGTGGATCGACGCTCGCCTTGAGAACACACTTCACGTTCAAGATTTGTCCAAGAACCTGTTTTCGCTCACGGCTGCGGCAGCGCGCGGCATGACAGTGGAGATAACGCGCAACGAGTGCGTGGTCAAGCGTGGCGGCACACCCGTCGCAACAGGAAGGAAGCAGGGGTTCCTCCTGTATCTCAATGCTGACTGTGGTACGGAGTGCCACATGGCCGAAGACGATACAGAGCTATGGCATAGAAGATTGGGTCACGTGTCGTATGGTACGCTGAATGCCATGGTCAAGGACGGAAGGATCAAGGGCGCAACGATGAAGACGAACGTTGCGTGTGACGTATGCGCAACGTCAAAGCAAGTGCGCAAGTCATTCAAGACAAGTGAAGAAGACGCTGAAACCAGGGAGAGTTCGCGTTCCGACGTGGTGGTGTGCTCCGACGTTCTCGGACCTATCACGCCAGCGTCCAAGTCTGGTTTCAGTTACGCCGTAACCTTCATCATGATGAAGAGCAGGTATGTAACGGTCTATCCGTTGCGAAAGAAGAGCGACGTTGCGAGTGCGTTCAAGCGGTTTTACCAAGATGTCAAGACAGCATCTGGAACGAAGATAAAGGTGTTGCGAAGTGACAACGGCGGCGAATACCGGAACGAAACGATGAACAGCTTTTGCAAGGCAAAGTTCATTAAGCAAGAGTTCACGGTTCCGTACAATCCAGAGCAGAACGGGATGGCGGAGCGGATGAACCGCACGCTGGTGGAGATGACGCGCTGTATGCTCAAGGAAAGCGGCCTCGACAAGTCCTATTGGTGCGAGGCACTAATGACAGCGGCAGACATCAGAAACATTCTGCCGAACGCGTCGAACAAGAACTCAAGCCCACACGAAATGGTGTTCAAGAAGGTTCCGCGCATCGATCACATGCGCGTGTTTGGTGCGCAATGCTATGCGCATGTGGCGAAGGAGAAGAGAAAGAAGCTGGACGACTCAGGCGTGCGATGTTTCTTTCTCGGCTATGAGAAGGACCAAAAGGCGTATCGGCTTCTCAACGCGGACGATGGCTCGATCGTGATTTCAAGAGGCGTCACGTTCGCTGAGCATTCTGTCACGAAAGCATCGAAAAGCAGAGACACGCAGGTCTTCGATGTCATTGAAGAAGATGAAAGTGTGGAGGCGTCGCTAACCGATGATGAAGACATACCAGCGCCGGTGACCGAAGAAGAGCTGCGCACCCCACCACTTCGAGCGCAGAACAGCTCTCATCACGGACCAAGTGTTCGACCAAGCGACACCATTCCTACGCGCGCATCCAGCACACCCGGAAGAAATGGAGAAGAAGAGTGGATGGTGCGACCGGTTCGAAAGAAGCGCGGCGTGGTTCGCTACGAACAAGAATTTCCAAGCCATCGTCGCGGTCGCTTCAATTTGGACGACTACGAAGGTGACTTCGACTCTTTCTACTGTTTCTCGGCTGAAGAAGATGGGGAACAAGCGTCCAGCTATCGAGAAGTGATGAAGAGCGGCTACAAGGAGCAGTGGCTCCAGGCAATGAAGAGTGAGATGAAGTCGCTTGAAGAACACAGCACATGGAAGCTAATGGACATGCCACCGGGCAAGAAGGCCGTTGGCTGCAAGTGGGTCTTCAAGATTAAACGCGATCCAAGTGGCGAGATCATCAAGTTCAAGGCACGCTTGGTTGCGAAAGGGTTCACGCAGCGTCCTGGCATCGACTATAACGAGACCTTCGCACCAGTGGCGCGCAAGGAATCTAATCAACACAGTGTTGGCGATCGCTGCAGCCGAAGACCTGGAAGCAGAAAACGTTGATGTCGACACAGCGTTTCTCTACGGCGAAGTGGAGGAGGAGATCTACATGGACCAACCTGACGGTTTTGAAGATGAAGGAAGCCCGAATAAGAAGTGTTTGCTGCAGAAGGCGCTATACGGGACGAAGCAAGCGGCGCGGCAGTGGAACAACAAGTTGAGTCAGCACTTGGTTGATCAAGGATTCAAGAGCAGTACAGCGGACCCGTGTGTGTTCGTTCGAGTGACAAGAGAGGAGTACAGCATCATCGTGATCTACGTGGACGACTTGATGATTTTCTGCAAGACGAAGGAGCACATCGCAAGTATCAAGAACTCATTGATGGAAGATTTCAGCATTAAAGATCTTGGAGATCTCAAGTACTGCCTCGGGATCGAGATTCATCGCAAGCGCGAAGATGGAACGATCAAGATGAACCAGAAGGCGTACATCAAGCGACTTTCGGAGAAGTTCGGCGTTGAGAACTGCAAGGACATGCACACGCCGGCGGACAGTAATTCAAAGCTGATCAAGATGGGTCAAGAGGAAGCGTTTGTACCAAAGTACCCATACCGTGAGCTGGTGGGCGCTTTAATGTACACCGCCACATGTACACGACCGGACATTGCGCATGCGGTTGGCGAAGTTGCGAAGTTTTGCGAGCGCTACGACAAGTCGCATTGGACAGCAGCAAAGCGGATTCTCAAGTATCTCAAGACGACTCAAGACTTAAGCATCGTTTTCAGCGGCATCAACAAGGGAGAGCTGATTGGATTTGCGGATGCAAACTGGGCTGGCGACCTCGACACGCGGCGTTCGACAACAGGATACGTTTTCTTCCTGAACGGAAGCGTGATATCGTGGAACTCGAAGCGTCAACCAACGGTCGCGACCTCAAGTACGGAAGCAGAGTACATGAGCCTGTACAGCGCGACGCAGGAAGCAATTTGGCTTCGAGGTCTGCTCAAGGACCTGAACTACTGTGCCAAGAACGCGACGACGATTTTTCAAGACAATCAAGGTTGCATCGCGCTGGCCAAGAATCCTGTGTACCACTCGCGCACGAAGCACATCGACATCAAGTTTCACTTTTTGCGTGAAAAGGTTGCAAGTGCAGTTATCGCGCTAGAGTTCAAGCCGACAGAAGAAATGGTCGCGGATGGATTCACCAAAGCACTTCCAAGAGACAAGCACAGCAAGTTCATCACGGGTCTGTGCATGGCGGTGTAGGGGTCACACGTCGCACGCACATCAAGGGAGAGTGTTAGCGAGTGATGATGCGGCGACTTGTGCAGGGTGTATATTGCATATTTGCATTAGTTGTATTGTTCTTTGGCAGGTTTATATTGTGGAATGTTAGCGAAACGACAAGTCATCGGATTGGCTCAGTCGTTTGGGAAGGGGGATTCCACGCGGGTGAGTGCGGGTTCGATCCCCGCCGTGTACAAGTTAATTGTGACTGACACTCACGACCTGGTGTTTGGGGTTCACCAGAACTGTGACCCGCCCGCAGTTACGTCCCCCACCCACGCAATCGTTTTCATTCAGCATATGACACAGCAGAGTTTTTACGAAAGGTATTTACGAGACGTAATTACCCAGTGATAGGTAAAACAGAAAGCGGTGGAGACAGGGCACGAAATAGGTGGCTGAGAGTCACCGGCTACTACTAGCCATTCGTTTTCGAAGCTAGGAACAATTTGAATACAACTCACTTTTCGGTTTTCATCCCCGGCCGTAAGCCATCTTCTTCTTCTCATCAGCTCCGCAACCTAGTTAATTCTAACAAGTACATCGATGCTGCCTGCGATACTGCGTTACTTCTCTTTTCCTCTGATCACGGTTTGTCAGGTTCGGTATTTGGTAAAGAGTGTGTTTTGTCGGTCAAAGCAACTACGCGACGCGGGACTCGAACCTGCAAGCCCCAGATTCGAAGTCTGATACGCTATCCATTGCGCCAGCCGCGCGCTGATGTCTGGGGTAGGGTTATCATAAACTATAAATCATTGCTTTGCACACAAAAAACTGTACTGCTCTCGACCCTTTTAGCTCCAACACTTGGGTGGGTGCCATACCAAAGCATCAAAAGTCTTCGTTACAGATGAAGGCACTTTAGTCTTTGCCGATGAACCCGTGTTGGATTCACATATCAATGCAATCCTCTTTCGATTTGTAAAATTGTGTGTCTTTCCGAAGAAAAGGGTCTTGTTTTGGCAAGCACTAGAATACGTAGGTACGTGCGCACACATGCAAGGGTCATCTTTTTCGCGCAATAATTCAAGCGGCATCATCAGAGAGACAAGTCAGAGAGTGTGAAATGAGGCTTGCACCTAACTCGAATTTCTCTCGTTGCAAGCGGACGAGTCAAAGTGATCCATCCGTAAGTCGCATAAAGAACATCAGCTGTAGACCTACGACCCAAGGATGTGCAAGTGACGTAGGACGGAGCGCCGACAAGACTCCATCGAACTGGTCGTATCGAGGAAGGATATTATGTATTTACTAGCTACCAAGATAGCTTTGGTAAAGCGTGTTTGACAAGATTGTCCGATTCCGTGCGATATCAACAGGACAGGTCCATAGCAAACGTCACTCCAGCGTAAAATGATCTAATGTTTGCTGACATGACTTATTGCGGTCGAAAACTTTTGCTGACACACGAAGTCAGCACACACTGACACGAAAAAAGATCATCGTATTAAACGTCTCAGCCCCTGGCTCAGTGCACTCACACACGTCCACCCCACGTATTATGGCATGTGTACTGATTTGCACCAATGTTCTCTAATACCCGCTTGGCCTCCGTTAGACAAGATATCAATATCTCGACCGCCCGACCTGGGGACGCCTGTTCATTTTTTCAATGGAGTATATAAAGAAATGAATCACTAACGATAAGGGTTGCGCTCGCTAAAGTATTTAGCCTAAAATTTCATACCACGAGCTGATGACAGTCATGCAACGCCTGTTCTTTTCATAAAAATTGACCAAAATTAGCAAGGGTTGGTAAGGTTCTGCGCGTATTATTGAATGACACCACATGCACCACCGCTCGTGTAGCCTCCCATTGATCCGTTTGAATTTCAATCTTGCGATTATGCTTTTTAGGAGGGGGGGGTGCTTAACGCGTTAGCTGTCATATCAAAAATTCCGAGATACTAGCAATCAGCGTTTACGGCATGGACTACCGGGGTATCTAATTCCCGATCACTTCTCAAACTTTTGATTTCAGTGTCATCTGATCCGTGTCGTAATGGAGTCCAGGTGCTACATCTGCTTGAAAGTAAGAAAAATGATAAATGACTTCTATATTGAAACGCGGGTCAGACGCGATTCGGCACCGCCGGGGGCCCCGTTAGCGGCTTGATCAATGAGAAGTGAGCTCTGCTGTATTACGCACTACAGACTCTATCACGCACTATACCCTGCAAAACACATTCCGGTACTTACAGTTACCACACAACCACCACACAATAATCACCACAACTGGCAGCTGAGGAGTTCACCAAAATAGGAGTGTCCGCTATGACAGCTCCTTTTCCAGCAATCCCATGTTGACGAAGTTGCGCATCTCCAGCGAGCCCAATATTACTGTCCGCCTTTTTGGGCTACCTTTCATCGAAGATCCAGACGTTTCGCGGTATTTCAGTTAAAAGGAGTGTTAAGAATCGGTGATGCGACATGTGCGCATAGAGAAAATGTTTTGTGTCGTTGTGATTACTACCTCGCGGAAACATCAGCGACTCATTCTTCGCATTGACGCAAACATGAACTCAACGACTCCTGCACCTGGTGCAAACAACATCAACAAATTGGCCACAGCAGCACGACTTCTCACCATTTGTCTTGAGCTTTGTGCTCTGATCGCGCAGGCCGACAAAATCTGCCTGGTCTGCCTCTCGTGATTGTCGGCCGCCCTCTTTCGATAAAAGGGCATCAACCGCTAATTATGGAGACGAAGATCTGCAACAGCTCTCTTTACAAGTAAATCTTACGGTATCTGCTCTCGCCTGATCGATATCTTCAGACTGGCAACTCCGGCTCCTATTCAGGTCATTCACGTTCTGAAACCGTGCCGCTACGAAGTTTATGTTCTGTCTGAACACCCAGCTTTGCTTTCCGCATAGACTTCACTTTTCATGACTGTGAGTTTGTTTATGTTTCGATGGTCTTTCGAACGAGGGTTTTGGCAGTAGTGATCGTCCAATCTCTCCGTTGTGTTGTGCTGACATAGATACGTTTTGACACAAGATGAATGAACAAGTGCCAATCTGCATTGCACTTTCCAGTGGATTATCGCCCTAGTGACTCACTTTCCCAGTGAGTTATCACCCTAGTGACTCATTCGATTCGCGTGAAGTGTCTTGCGTTCGATATCGCGTACACGTTGAGGTTACTGTTGGAAATCAAAGAGATGTAATGAAAGGCTTCTGTATTAAAACGCCAGACACGTTTCAGCTCCCCGCCGGGGGCCGCGTCAGTAGCTTATCCAATCTAGAAGTGAGATCTTTCTGTATCGTGCACTACCAAACCAAAAATCTTCTAGAACTTAGTGTAAACACACAAATCACCCACTGTAACTACTAAACCTGGCAAGTGGGGCGTCGACCCGGAAGGGAGTGTCCGCTATGACAACTCCACTTCCAACAGTTACTAGGGAGAGCATCCTGTGTCGGAAGCAAGCGCACGCATATTGCCATGATGAAGAATTTCTTTCGATAAAGTGGAGCTTGTGAAGTGGGGTGGGAAGCAGTCACTCAGTACATCGATGCTGCCTGCGATACTGCGTTACTTCTCTTTTCCTCTGATCACGGTTTGTCAGGTTCGGTATTTGGTAAAGAGTGTGTTTTGTCGGTCAAAGCAACTACGCGACGCGGGACTCGAACCCGCAACCCCCAGATTCGAAGTCTGATACGCTATCCATTGCGCCAGCCGCGCGCTGATGTCTGGGGTAGGGTTATCATAAACTATAAATCATTGCTTTGCACACAAAAAACTGTACTGCTCTCGACCCTTTTAGCTCCAACACTTGGGTGGGTGCCATACCAAAGCATCAAAAGTCTTCGTTACAGATGAAGGCACTTTAGTCTTTGCCGATGAACCCGTGTTGGATTCACATATCAATGCAATCCTCTTTCGATTTGTAAAATTGTGTGTCTTTCCGAAGAAAAGGGTCTTGTTTTGGCAAGCACTAGAATACGTAGGTACGTGCGCACACATGCAAGGGTCATCTTTTTCGCGCAATAATTCAAGCGGCATCATCAGAGAGACAAGTCAGAGAGTGTGAAATGAGGCTTGCACCTAACTCGAATTTCTCTCGTTGCAAGCGGACGAGTCAAAGTGATCCATCCGTAAGTCGCATAAAGAACATCAGCTGTAGACCTACGACCCAAGGATGTGCAAGTGACGTAGGAAGGAGCGCCGACAAGACTCCATCGAACTGGTCGTATCGAGGAAGGATATTATGTATTTACTAGCTACCAAGATAGCTTTGGTAAAGCGTGTTTGACAAGATTGTCCGATTCCGTGCGATATCAACAGGACAGGTCCATAGCAAACGTCACTCCAGCGTAAAATGATCTAATGTTTGCTGACATGACTTATTGCGGTCGAAAACTTTTGCTGACACACGAAGTCAGCACACACTGACACGAAAAAAGATCATCGTATTAAACGTCTCAGCCCCTGGCTCAGTGCACTCACACATGTCCACCCCACGTATTATGGCATGTGTACTGATTTGCACCAATGTTCTCTAATACCCGCTTGGCCTCCGTTAGACAAGATATCAATATCTCGACCGCCCGACCTGGGGACGCCTGTTCATTTTTTCAATGGAGTATATAAAGAAATGAATCGCTGACGATAAGGGTTGCGCTCGCTAAAGTATTTAGCCTAAAATTTCATACCACGAGCTGATGACAGTCATGCAACGCCTGTTCTTTTCATAAAAATTGACCAAAATTAGCAAGGGTTGGTAAGGTTCTGCGCGTATTATTGAATGACACCACATGCACCACCGCTCGTGTAGCCTCCCATTGATCCGTTTGAATTTCAATCTTGCGATTATGCTTTTTAGGAGGGGGGGGTGCTTAACGCGTTAGCTGTCATATCAAAAATTCCGAGATACTAGCAATCAGCGTTTACGGCATGGACTACCGGGGTATCTAATTCCCGATCACTTCTCAAACTTTTGATTTCAGTGTCATCTGATCCGTGTCGTAATGGAG